AATTGTTTATATAAAAATAAGGAGATGTGGTATGATTGCCAATGAGACAACTTTCCACCAAAGACACATTGTACAACACACAAATTTTGATCAATTTAATTAGGACTTGTTTTTTGAGAAGAAACTAGTCTCTCAATTGATTTGGCTAAGTGTGCCACGAAGTCTTTCACATGAAATAAACTTATAAATATTATAAGTTAGGTATTTGTGGTAACCATTATTATCTATTAGACAATATGTGTTATATTTAAAAAAACAACCTCTTAATGAAATTTCACATCAATGTTTTTGCATGTATTAAATTTTCACTCCTTTCAACAAATAAACTTCAGTTACTCATTAAAAAACATGGTGCCATTGGAATAAACCTCCATATTAAACTTGAAAAAATCATAATTTGTCTTCCATAAAAAAAATAAAAAATAAAAAATAACCTTCTACCATACATCAACATGTAAATTTTAACATCATTATTCATTGTATCAAACATATTTACCAAAATCTTCAGAAAGTTTGTCTAATTGTGTAACTGAAGCTACAAGATAAGGTGACTCTTGCAATAAAGTTTCCAGCTTAAACCGGCAGAGGCCAGTCACAAGTAGTGTATAAGATGGGCGTGGCCAATTGGTGCCAGTCACTTGTACGACAACTGCTGCAGTACCAATAGAATGAAGTGAGGACATGTCATCTTCCTGTTAATAAGAAACAATGTCCATTTAAAATTTCAGTAAATTGGGTGCCATGCATACAATGAAATTCTGATATATTTGACAATTTAACCATCAAATTTAGAGAAATGTCATAATAAATATCCCACTTATAGCAGGGGTAGAATATGTTCCCATTCTGATTTTTAGATACCACATGGCAAAACTTTGCAATCCATTTTTTTTTTATCTTCATCAATGTTCTGCCTTCAGGTAAACTGATTGAGCATTGCTGCCTTCTTCTGTGTCATGATTGTCCTGAATATGCATGAAATATTTGCCACTGAATGTTAAGCAAACAATAATCAATCAATCTGTGTCATGATATTGGCAACATAAGATAAAACGAAGAAATGTAATGTTATAATTTTATTTCAGGAAATGAGAAGTTGTGAACATTTGGCCAAATCAATGAAGAAACATAGTGGGAACGATTTCCTAAACTCTGACAGTTCCTTACTTTACATGATTCATAAGACAATATTTTAAAGAAAGACATTTACTTGATCATCTTTTGACTCTTGTGGAATAACTCCAATGATGGTACTGCTCAGTGTACTTCGACTCATCAAGCGACTTTTAACCATGTTCATACTAAAAAGAAAATAAACAACAGATAATAGCAAAGTCTTACAAATATTGATACTGTATGTCAAAGCTTTGTAAAGATCACTCACAAATACTATATATATACCGGTAATAAGCTATTAAGGAGAAGTGGTATGATTGCCAATGCGACAACTATCCAATAGAGACCAAATGAAGCAAATTACAATTTCATTTAACATATATACTTACCAAAATACCAAGTTTTCAATTTTGGTCATGAGAAAAGTTACATTTAAAGTTGTTTCTGCCATCATTTTCCTAACTTTTTACATTAAAATTTGTCAAAAAGATTCTGAAACTGTTAAAAGCATAACAATTCCAACCCATTGCATGTGAATGCATGGTGGTGGATGCATGCAAAGTAGGATATGATTACCCTGTAGTAACTGTAACAAGTGTACCCTGTTTTGCTCTTTAGGAGTTCCTCAATTTTTTTTTTTTTGTATATTTAAATGCATACATGTGAACCTCCCGACGGGAGTACAATAATCCCGTTTTCAGGGGTCTCCTCCTGTCCTCCCGTTGAAGAAAAAAAAATCCTGTGTATGAAATATTTCATGAATGAAAACTCAGCCGCCATATCAGGTGTAACTGACATTACCTGATGTTAAATTTTACCTGTAAATCAAAGAACATGCATAATTATATGGCTTCACTTGCCACAGCTTGGGTGTCAAACATACTGGTTATCAACGATTTTTACCTCAGGCTAACTGCCGTTGTGTAAAAAAAACTTTGTGTATTCAAAAGTAATTGAAACAAATTTTGGGTTACTTCCCTTATTTCATTCTGTTTAAAGTTATTTTCCTTTAAATAATGTAAATTGTTAAAAGAATATGAATGAAATATAAATTGAACAAAATAATCATAAAAGGATGGTAATAAAATGATTTTAAATGTCTTAGGACAAATAAAAAAATAATAATTTGGAAATTATTTGAGGGTTCTATACTTCTTTTCAAGGCTTAAATTGAAATTTATCTAATAAGTATGACATTAAGGTAGATTATACCGACCATACAAGGGCTATAAAGCCAATCGGGGTTGTTAAAAACTTCCATATACTATAACAGTATATGCATGTTTAATAGCAAGAAAGAATGATCCTTCTGCAGTGATTGTTTAGAGTAAACAGTATGAAGAACAGAATGTTAGATTGAATAAAGTTAAAGAAAATTTAATAGTACAAGGGTACTATAAACATATTACATTCAGATGGAAAGTTGAAAAAAAAACACTTTAAAAGACAATTTCTACATCACACGGTCACATTTACAACAAAATTTATGTCGATAAAAAACCTCCTGATCTGAGTCCTAATCTCCTGACCAAAATTTCCCAATCTCCTGATCTGAGTTTCACAGTCCATCACATGTATGTAAATGGATTAATCATATTTGAGCATTGGTAAAGTACTGTTCCCTTTTATTTAACATATGTGCTACTTTAGCATCTATATATCAATAGGTTAAGGTTTTGCATGAAAGCAAAACAATTTTGCAACAGACGTTATTGAATATTTTTCTATCATTTAAAGGTAAAAGTAAAAGTTACTGTTATCTAACATGCTATGATAAATAACAAGGCAATTTTTTAACATTATAAACCTGGTCAGTCATTCATTTTTTCAACGAAAGTATATATTACCATTCAAAGTCCATTTTCTTCAAAAAGCTGCCATTCAATTCATCAAAATCGAATTTATTAGTAACTTATATGGAAAATAATTGTATCAAACATTTTTTATTGTCAAGCAAATCATTTTACTTTAGTCTTTCTAAATAGTTCTTTCATTGACAATTATACCACATCTTTTTAAAAAGTTTATTTTTATCTTACATGTAATGGAAGTAACTCTGAGTTCTTTTTGTTTTAATCTTGAGATTTACACCAGATTTGTTCTAGATTTCTCTGCCTTCTAATATATCATATTTCCTTCATATCTAATAGCTAAGGATTTTTTTTAAATCCTTAATATAGCAAAAGCCATATTTTAATCTCTTAACCATGACAATAAATTGGCCAAAATGGCAAATAGTCATCCATCTTACCATGAGACCGTGAACTGGCAAGGATTACCTGTCACTTCTATTATGCAACAATAATTAATTACTTACTTATACATTAACAAAATTTATCACACAAACAATCTAATTAGTTTAGAATAAACAAAGGATTAATGGTAACATGATTGGTTAGTAAAAACAAACTGTTGCAGGCAGCAGTGCAATGTTAGGTTAACAAGGACACTTTTTAAGGGCAAAATGATGCATCCTTAAGCCTAAAAGGGGATTGGAAAAGACCCCTCTCTTTTTTGCTACTGATTGATGTTTGCCTATAGGTTATCATCTATATATTTCATGTATATTTAGGATGATTGGGCTATTGAGGATAATGCAATGGAATGGTCAAGTTTAGAAATCCTTAAAAATGATTTTAGCGGTTCAGCATTATTGTAAATGATGCCTCATCCAATTAAAAACATGATAATCAATCAAATTCCTGTAATGAAACATTATTTCTTAATAAACCTTAATGTTATTTTGGATACTGTGCATGTCATTCTGTGACACAAGATTTTGTAACACTTGACCTATTGACATCTTACTTGGTTAAATCTGTCGGGATGGAACTCCATTTAACATGTCTTGTTCAAATTTGATCTTTCATCTTTTATGCTAGGGATTTTACCAGCTTTCTAATTATGCTTAGTTTACATTTTTATTTATGCTTATACCTAGCATATATTAAGCTTATATTATGCTACCATGCTAAATTATGGTAAGTAAGTAAGTAAGTAAAACTTTATTTGGATTCGGCATATTGACAAACAAATTAAACATATTAAGACCTCATGAGCTTTTCACCGAATATGGTGCTTCATTTTGTATTTATATGTTTACCTTATTGCATGCTTGTTTGTATTGTATTGTTATGCCTAGTTAAAATATGGGGACCAAATATTCTTCACCAGTACAATACATGTAATGGTTATTCTTCAGTGATTTTGATATTTTAGTGTGTTTTTGGAGTAAATCCATGGGCTAATGTATACACAAATTTACACTTCAGGTAATGCATTTAGCTGAATTTTGTCTCAGAATGACCTTATGTCTGTCTCTGAAGAACCTTATTACGTCAACTTTTAAAAATTGTGATGTCAAATTTGACGAGAACTTGTGTGATTTTCAGTAATGGCCATGATGGCAGACAAATTTGCATAAAAGTGTAAAATACGTCTATTGATTAAACAAGTTAAAGTATTAGTGATTTTTGAGGAGATGGACATTGAAAAGGTTGACTACAGACACCAATCGCAAGAGATTGTTGCAGTGCTGCTGGTACTTGACATTTTCCAGTGTATTTTTGTTTATAAACAATTGTCCTTGATAGCTAAAAGGTAGAACGTAAATTATGTAAGACCGAATTTTAAATGGGGAACAAAAATGTCTTGTAATTGTTGAAAATAAAAAAATACTTTTTCATATTTCTGACTGGTATTCGCATCGATGACCCTGGCAGAAGAACATTGTCAGCAACAACTAAAAGTGGTAGACGTCGAGGAATAGAAATAGTCGATGCCATTTTCAGTTTCTGATCACGTGATGATACTTTTTCTCAAATCATCACATGACCCCGTCCGACAACTCTCTGGTTTTTACCTCACTTTTGCGTTGAAAGGAATTTATGTAAACAATGAATGACTAAGTTGGGCAGCTGAGTTGGGAAATTGTTGGGCGCTTTGAAGATACTTTGATGATGAAGTCACTTGGGGATTGACAGGGATCTTAGACCAAATATATTATGGCATACAAACTACCATCAGAGGTTTGAAAACTGCATTTTATTTTTCAAAAATAAGGTTGAGTTCAAAGGCAGTTCAGGGAATGGCCTTCAAAAGTGATTCAGCAGTCTGACAGCATCCCAATAATACAATAGAACAAAAAAAATATGGTCAAATTTTAAAATCAATTTAAGCAAGGACGTATATTAGACCAAGTTTATGTGCACTATACCTAGAAAATCTTTTACGCAGCGAATACACAATATATCCTGCTATATAGAAGAGAATAGACTGATCATTACTACTAAGGTGTGATTGCTCTTTTTCTGAGTTGTCTTTTTGCACCTTGGTCATCTGTGCCATAATTTCACCAATAATGTCTTCAAAAATCAATTGCAAAAATATTGAAAGTACATTCTCTGAACATGTTGGAAAATGGTCTAAAAACTTCTGTCTTAAGGACACATCCGAACGAACCTTATGAAGTTTTCGAAAAATGTTTTCTCTATCATTGCTTTGTGTCAGTTTAGAGTTTGACTCTTCAAAAATGGTGTAAATAACCTGATGTAAACATTCCTTAGCAGAGGTATTGTTTTCTAGTTGATGACATAAATCTTTAATCTCGTGTGGATTAACAACAAATGGGTCATTTGCAATATTGCATAGTGATGTTGGCAGTGCTGTATAAAAAGTTTTACTAAAAGTATCTTTTGACACCTGTGAAGATTCACAACTAGTAGATGTTGATGATTGTGTTGCTGAAACACCTTTTGTAACACGAAAATCACTGGCCCGAATTTGTTGACCATGCTGTTTTGAGGTATGCCCTCTAAAGCCTGAGATGGTTTTCAGTGGCTTGTCACATACTGGACATTGATACAAAATGTCTGACACCTTTGCCGTTGGGTTGGCAGTTTTTTTCTTTTTAGGACTAGGCACAGCGAAATCTATACTACTGTCACTATCACTTGGGTCATATTCTGTATATTCCCCTAGCAATAGTTCTAGATCAAGATCAGTGTCCCAAGATAAGAAATCTGACATGTTAATAGAGTTCAAATCGAAAAAGTAAATAGCAGATATTGCAACTCGTTCTTTTTATTACATACTCGTGTATATTTCTCAAGATTAATTTTCTCAAATCAGCTTTGGTCATTTTGAAAGTAGACAATGACTCGTTTAGTGTAGTTTGGGTCATAGCTTTTCTAAATTGAATAGTACAAAGGAAACCACACAAGCTCATTAAATAAACAACTTACATTCGGTTAAAAAGTAGAAAGGATACCGCACAAGCTCATTAAATGAACAACATACAATAAGGACTACTTTATTCTTTATTATAATTAATTATAAATCATCACAGGAATTGGGAATGCAAAGTTAAATGCTCAAACTAAATAAGGGTTAATCAAATCAATCATTGTTTCTAGAAGACATTTACTATTCAATAATAAAAATGTTAAAACGTTGAAATTTATACGATTTTAACGGCCCTGTAAGACATATTTGATAGAAAATATTTTTTTTATATTTGTTTCTTTTGTTTTTGAACATCGAAGATAATTAACAAAAGTTAAAAACAAAACAGAGAATTTCTGTCATGACGATCGAGACTGTAGGAGTTCTAGTTGTTTACATTATCGTAACTAGCCGGAAATATTTATTTGAAGCGCGCATAATTGTAGTAGTGAGTAAATCCAAATCTCACGATTTGCGATATTTTAACGAGATACCGCGAGACACGAATCCTTGTTAGTTATACGTCCTTGATTTAAGGTATTATCATTATCTGTATGGGGAACTCCCGATAGAACACCTGTTGTATTTATTACAGCACGGACAGAAAACACAATTTGTCCTGGATGTGCCTGGCTATACAGTGCCACTTTAAAGACCTCTGTTGATCTTGTTGTCTTGAAGGTTGTTCTAGTGGACAGCAGTTACTACAAATTTTTTTTTTGTATTGGTCGGTTGCTGAAAGTTGGATTTTGACTTTTTTGTAGCTCCTCATCACTTGTCATGGAACCATCATTGTCCTTCATCTTTGTCATTGGTTAACTTTTACAAAAAACTATTTCTTTGAAACTACTGGGCCAAATTTAACCAATCTTAGCCACAATCATCATAGGGGTATATAGTTTTAAATACTTGTCTGATGACCCAGCCTGCCAACCAAGATGGCTGTCATGGCTAAAAATAGAATATAGGGGTAATTAAAATGCAAGTTTGTCTATTATTTTGACAACCGCTATTAACAGAGAAAATCTTAACGGGTAGAATTGTTCAGAATGTTGAGCTCTACCTTATATCAATTTAAGTCAAAACTGCATGCCAGACGACTTCATTTAGGAGTTATTGCCCTATAGGCATGATAGGTGGCATGGGAGTACGTATAAATGAAAAATGAAAAAAAGAATTTGTTTGAAATGTAGTGTTAAAATGTAATATATATTGTGATATATTAAAAACAATAGGTCACTGAGCCTATTTATACGACCGCAAACAAATTTTGTGGTCGTTTAGTGGAATCACGTTGTCGTCGTCGTCGGAAGACAGTTGGTTTCCGGACAATAACTTTAGTATAGGTAAATACAAAATGTAGATATCTATGAAATTTAAACACAAGGTTTATAACCACAAAAGGAAGATCGGGATTGATTTTGGGTATTATGGTTCCAACAGTTTAGGAATTAGGGGCAAAAAAAGGGGCCCAAATAAGCATTTTTGTAGTTTCCAGACAATAACTTGTGTTTAAGGATGTTCGCTACTCTTGTTTTGACTTTTTGTCAGATATTTGGAATCCTCTAGTTTTATCCATGTTAGTGCCAATAAAAGTTTTGCCCGCTAACCCCTATTTTTCTTTTCATAATTTTATTATATACATGTATAGTTTATAAATAGCCATATTTGAAAATGCTATAAAATCCTTGTTATTTTTTCATAATTTTTTTAAAGAAAAAGGGTGCCAATGTTAAATGTATGAAAAGTCTAGAGAGAATTATTTGGGAGGGGGGGGGGGGGGGGGGGTACAATTTTTTTCTCATTTTAGATTTCAGAAATTAAAAAGAAAATTTCTTCAAATATTTTTTTTTGCAAAAAAAAGATGGGAGGGGGGTCAATATGCAACAGCAAAGTGTATTGCACAAAAGCATCAATTGAATATAAATTCAAATCATATTACCAATTCTAAGTTCTTTGATTAAAGTTATTCTGTGTCAGAAACCTATTTTGAGTTTAAGTTTGGGGGTAATTGCCGTAAACATTTAGGAATAAGGGGCCAAAAATAAGCATTTTTCTAGTTTCCAGACAATAACTTGGGTTCAAGTGTATGGATCTCTCTGAAATTGTACTGCAAGGTACCATATCACAAAGGGAAGGCTGTGATTGATTTTGGGGGTAATTGCCTCAAAATTTTAGGAATTAGGGGCCAAAAAGGGGCAAAAAACAAGCATTTTTCTAGTTTCAGGACAATAACTTGTGTGTAAGTGTATGGATCTTTATGAAAGTGTACTATAAGGTTCCATATCACAAAGGGAAAGCTGGGTTTAAGTTTGGGGGTAATTGCCGTAAACATTTAGGAATATGGGGCCAAAAAACAAGCATTTTTCTAGTTTCCAGACAATAACTTGGGTTCAAGTGTATGGATCTCTCTGAAATTGTACTGCAAGGTACCATATCACAAAGGGAAGGCTATGATTGATTTTGGGGGTAATTGCCTCAAAATTTTAGGAATTAGGGGCCAAAAAGGGGCAAAAAACAAGCATTTTTCTAGTTTCAGGACAATAACTTGTGTGTAAGTGTATGGATCTTTATGAAATTGTACTATAAGGTTCCATATCACAAAGGGAAAGCTGGGTTTAAGTTTGGGGGTAATTGCCGTAAACATTTAGGAATATGGGGCCAAAAAACAAGCATTTTTCTAGTTTCCAGACAAAAAATTGTGTTCAAGTGTATGGATCTCTCTGAAATTGTACTGCAAGGTACCATACCACAAAAGAAAGGCTGGGATTGAGTTTGGGGGTAATGAATCATAAGGGGGTTCAAAAAATTGGGGGGGGGGGATTTTTTTTTCCTTTTTTTTTTCTTTAAAATTTTCCATTTTAAGTTGGTTATTTCTGATTTATATATAAAAGCAAATAATAATGATATGGTTTGAATAGGTAAATTAAAAGTTTTTTAGTTCTTAGACCACATTCATTCTGTGTCAGAAACCTATGCTGTGTCAAATATTTAATCACAATCCAAATTCAGAGCTATATCAAGCTTGAATGTTGTGTCCATACTTCATTAAAGTAAGCTTTAAATAAAGTAAGGGAATCTTGTGTCCATTTTTGCCCCAACTGTTCAGGGTTGGACCTCTGCGGTCATATTCTGCTGCACTCAGCGAGGCAATTTATTGTGTTTTGGTCTCTTTTTTAAGTACTATAAGCAATAGGTCAACTATATTTGGTGTATGGAATGATTGTAAGGTGTATATGTCTGTCTGGCAGGTATCATCTGACCTTGTCCTCATTTCATGGTTCATAGGTCAATGTTTTTTTTGTTTTGGTCTGTTTTTCAATTATCATAAGCAATAGGTCAAATATATTTTGTGTATATAAAAATTGTAAGGTGTATATGTCTGCCTGATAGCATTTATCTGACCTGAGTTTCTGTGATGCTTTTAGTTAAACCTTTATCTTTAAGACTTTCAACATAAAATCAATGGTCAGTAAAGCAGGCGAGACATTTCAGCGTGTGCACTCTAGTTTAGTTTTTGCCCTCTTTATCTCAAAAACTTGAATAGATAAGTAGAAACAGCAAAAAATGATCAGCACTAAAAATTAACAAAAATGCCAGTATGACAAAATCCATTGGATGACTGAGTATATTAGTTATTGTCCTAAAATAAAGATTTTTGACTAAATTTTGAATTTTTGCCTTTTAATTCAAATTTTGACAGGTGAGCTATTGATGCTCAAAAGAGCCTCTTGTTTGGGTCTCAATTATTTTAATGCATAATTATACCCCACGCAACAAGTTGCGGAGGGTATAATGTTTTTGACCCGTCATTCCGTCTGTCCGTCTGTCCGTCAGTCCATCAGTCCTGTTTCTTGTCATCGCAACTCCTCTCAAACCACACAACAAAATTTCACGAAACCTTTTTAGATAATAAGGACATACTATGTAGATGTGCATATCGACAGGAAATTATGGTTAATTTTTTTTTCTAGGAGTTACGCCCCTTTGAACTTATTTGCTTCAATGTACTACTGCAACAGTTTGTCATCGCAACTCCTCTGATACCACACAACAGAATTTCATGAAACCTTTTTAGATAATAAGGACATACTATGTAGATGTGCATATCGACAGGAAATTACGGTTCAATTTTTTTTCTAGGAATTACGCTCCTTTGAACTTAATTGCTTCAATGTACTACTGCAACAGTTTGTCATCCCAACTCCTCTGATACCACACAACAGAATTTCATGAAACCTTTTTAGATAATAAGGACATACTATGTAGATGTGCATATCGACAGGAAATTATGGTTCAATTTTTTTTCTAGGAGTTACGCCCCTTTGAACTTATTTGCTTCAATGTACTACTGCAACAGTTTGTCATCGCAACTCCTCTGATACCACACAACAGAATTTCATGAAACCTTTTTAGATAATAAGGACATACTATGTAGATGTGCATATCGACAGGAAATTACGGTTCAATTTTTTTTCTAGGAGTTACGCCCCTTTGAACTTATTGCTTCAATGTACTACTGCAACAGTTTGTCATCGCAACTCCTCTGAAACCACACAACAGAATTTCATGAAACTTTGTAGATAATAAGGACATACTATGTAGATGTGCATATCGACAGGAAATTATGATTCAATTTTTTTTCTAGGAGTTACGCCCCTTTGAACTTATTTGCTTCAATGTACTTCTACAACAGTTTGGCATAGCAACTCCTCTGAAACCACACAACAGAATTTCATGAAACTTTGTAGATAATAAGGACATACTATGTAGATGTGCATATTGACAGGAAATTATGATTCAATTTTTTTTTCTCATACAATTTTTTTTTCTTACACATATTTTATTTCTCCAATGACAATGTGGGGACGTGGGGTATGTGAGCGCGCTCACTAAGGTTCTTTAATTTATTTTGCCAAGATGAGCACATACTACAGTATGTTTGAAATAATGGGATAGTGTTGTTTAATACTTGATAACCTTATTAAAAAAAAAACATTTCCACAGTTAAGTCACAGTTCATGGGATGTTAAATTGTCAGAGGGCAATAATTAGCCAAAATTACCCAGATTTTCAATAATTAAAGTAACATTGGACAAAATGGCATAACTTGCAAACTTGATAATATTTTGCTTAAATGTGCATCTGAATGAGATATTTTGAAATACAAAAGAGTCATATGTAGCTATTTTTCATGAAAAATGCTTCAGTTAAGCATTTATTTTAAGAAGCAAAAGGAGTAGTTATGATTGTGAAACTTACAAATGTTTTAACATGTATGTAACGATGTTTGAACAGAATGTACACATACATTTGGATGAATTAAATTGGTGGAAAATTGTTATTTGACATGATAAATTTAATCATCACATATTGTAAATATGGTTACGGTTGATGCAAATTTTAATTTTGTATTGATAGAAATTCTTTTATTACAGGTCATTACCCATATAATGCGGTATTTGAGTGTGGCTGACAGAAAAGATGCTGCATTAGTCAACAAAGTTTGGTATGATGCTTCCTTAGATCCAATCCTGCAGAGAGATATTGTAATACATTTCTATGGAACTATGGTAGAAAGCAGATTTCCTAATCTTAGTCGACGGAAAATGTCAAATTTAATGCTTGACCAGTTTGATAGCTCACTGGAATCTAAGTCTATTATGCTGAAATCTTGTCAAAATTTCAGTCAGTCTTTACGGAACCTGTCATTAAAAGGAAGCAACATAACAGATGCACTTTTTGTTGATCTTATGTCGCATTGTAAGAATCTTGTGCATTTAGATCTGAGTTCCTGCAATTCACTTTTTATGTCAGGTCGTATATTAGAATTAAATGATGATATTCAGAAGCTAAAAGACACATTAAAGAATGTGAAAGTTCTAAATCTGTCTTCCATTCGTTTCTTGTCTGATGCTACATTCAACAGGATGGTCACAGTCTGCTCAAATGTAGAATCAGTCCATCTTGCCAGTGCTCAAATAACATTTATCTCAGAGAGCTATTTACCAAAAGGACAAACAAACTGTGTAAGCAACAGTTTACTGACATTCGGCAACATTCTCCACTTTATAGAACAACAGCAGGATAAACTGAAAGCTCTAGATTTTACCAGAACTGGAATTTCAGATGATCCATTAGATCAGATAGCATCCATACAGAACCTGGAATTGGAAGAAATAGTCCTGTCCGGATGTAAAGATGTAACAGATGAGGGCATTAATTCTACATGTAAAAACCAGAAACATCTTCGTATAGTTGAAGTCAAAGGGTGTACAGAAATAAGTGGTGCTGCATTAGAGCTTATAACTCAGAACTTGATGTTTTTAGAAATTCTGCGTCTTGGTAAATGCAGACAGCTTAATGATATTGCAGTCAGGAATTTACATCGACTTAGATGTCTGCAGGTTTTGGATCTATCAGAAATCTACCAGCTCACATCAGCAGGACTGATTAAGGGGCTCTGTCATAATGTTAATGAAATGTTAACTCATATAAATTTTAATTGTTGCTCAAATGTCAAAGATAACTTTGTTGTATCTCTATGTAAAGCTGCTCCGAACCTGCTTCACTTGGATATAGGATCCACTGGTATAACAAATATCAGTGTTCAAGCTGTATGTAAATATCTCAAATATTTGAGATATTTCCGAGTAGCATGGTGCCGAGACATAACAGACATAGGATTAGTTGGCTACAAAGATGCAGATAAGGACATTATTGAGAAAGCTAAAGAAAATCCTGAAGATTTTGACATTGGCAGACTGAGGAGAATATATGATGACCATATTATTTTCAAAAAACCTACGGGGTTTAAGAAAGACCAATTGTCAGCCAGTGATTTAGAGAAATTAGCATTTGACACAACTACAGGTTACACATTAGACTGTTTGGGACGTCTTCATGATCTTGATTTGTCTGCTTGTAAGAAACTAACTGATGGCAGTTTAGTCCATGTGATCAAATTCAAAGAGCTCCGATCTCTCAGTCTATGCATGACAAACATTACTGACATAACCGTAAGTGCAGTTGCTGCTAAAAATCCCAGTCTTGAGCACATTTGTTTGTCACAGTGTCTTTCTATTACAGATGATGCAATAAGAGATGTGACCAAACGTCTTACCCGACTTTCAAGCCTGGATATTGCTGGATGTGACAACCTTACTGATAAGAGTATTCACCATATACAGATGAACTGTAAAAGCCTTAAATCACTAGATGTTTCTTTCTGCAAGCAGATTTCCCCTGAATGTGTGGGCCTTTTGGAGACAAATTTGAAAACTATTCAGTCAGTAAACAAAAGGTTAACTGGAAATTGATGAAAGTGAATTTTAGCATACTGTGAAAGAAAGTTTGTTCATGATGTATGTTTTAAGTTGATAGGATCTTCAAATTTTTATATCCTAATTTACTGTCACAGACTTAATTAATTGAAATTTTCCTTGGTACATGTACTTTGTGTTTTAGCAAAACAAGAAATTCTCAAAATTGATAACAGTGAAGGAAATATATCTATCTCAGAATGCATTACTGTTTAATGTTGAACATGATATGACAGAAACAGAAATAAATTTTTAATTTCAAATTAATGTATATCAACTATGGGAACAACGATTTAACTCTGAGGTAGGGGTTATGGTTTTTCCTGATTCCCAACTTTGAAGAAGAAAAAAAATTTGATCAGGGAGATGGGAAAAATTTTTCTGATTGAGAGTTTTTGCCGTTAACTTAAAAAAAAAAAAAATGAACTAATTTAAGATTGAACAAAAAAAACATCCCTCCCCCATCAAAAGTTAAATGGTTGTTCCCTAACCTACCAAAATTGGTGAAGATTTTATATATTTTAGATAAGTCACTAGTTCATTGGTCCTTGAAGGTTTTTAATTTTCTATTCTTATTTGACCAAAGACCAAATATAAGAATTCTGAATAGGGGAGGGACTGATTTTACAAACTCAAAATATTTATGGGATAATATCAGAATTTGGTTGATTATAGAATGAAAATTTATTATACATTGACCAATTTTATAGCAGTTTTCATTACAAATTATTTAATATTAATATTATTAAATATTACATTGTACATATTCTAGTTTGATCACATTTTAATGAAATTTATTGTTAGAAGTTTTTTTCTGAAATGACAAATTCTCTTGGCATGTCAAAAATCAAGATTGTGATTCTTTAAAAGGGAAAATGGCTAATAGCTTTATAAGTAAGGATGTGATTTTAAAAAAAGAAAGGGAAACATATTAAATTGTATGAAAGGTCAGGAAAGAGAACCCAATTGTTTTTGATGTGGCCAATCTCTAATATTCACACTTAGTTTTTGTTTGTTAAACTAACAATCATGACAGTTTTAGATATTACCCTTTGTTGACATTATAACTTAATGTGTTCTCAACAGTTATAACAGAATAATGCATTTTTTAAATCATCCGTTTTATTAAATATTAATTAGATCAACATTATTATTAAACAAAACACAAATAATGCAGTTGAAAAAATATCTGGAATTGAAAGGAGGTATTTTAATAAGTTACAGATTTACTAAAACCATAGATTGATAGGCAGGTCACCATGGTCACATATATATCTGTTAGATATTAGCTTTTTTTGCAGTATTTGTGAAAACTGTCCTTTGCATGTTAATTGAACAAAAAAAATGATTCCAGTTTAGACATGTAAGAGGCATTTTTTTATCTGATTTTAAGGCAATTCTATTTTAATTTCATAACAAATAGTGTTCAATTCTTGTTATGAAATCCAGATGGTCTATCAGTGGTTGTGGTTTGTTGCTGTTTATCATATTTTTTTCTCATTTATTGGTTTTTACATGAATCAGGCAGTTATTTTTCTTGTTTGAGTTGTTTTATTCGTTTGTCACTTCAGGGCCTTTTATTGCTTGCTATGTAGTATGGGTTTTGCTCATTGTTGAAGGTCGTAAGGTGACCTTTAGTTGCTAACTTTTTTTGTGATTTGGTCCCTGGTGGAGAGCTGTCTCATTGGCACTCTTACCACGTCTTCTTATTTTCATATCAGAAAATTTATGATTCTTATATCAATTTGAAATTCAGGGAGGAAGGATTGAAATCTGTGATATCTGTTATAATTTTTGAAAATTTTTATTTTTATAGTAAAAGTTATGTATTATATATATATATGTCACCAGGTAATCCATACCAAGTCTTTGGGTTTTTTTCACCAAATTTCATAAATTTATGTTTAAACTCCTGAAGCTATAAAAATCATCAGGGATAAGAAAAAAATTGTAAAAAGTGACTTTACCCATTAGGCCAAGGTTTTTCAAGTTGATGATTTACAGATTTTTGAGGTGAAAGATTATGGTCGGTAGGTCAGAAAAATATATTTTAAAAGATGTAAATATGTATAGAATTACTGTGTAATTCAGCTTATTAAAATATTTGAGATCTTTGTTTTGGTCATCATTCCTTTAAATTTAAATTGACCATGTAATTACTGTTATGTCCAGGATGAACAGTAAGTACAAAATTTTTAACCAAAATCTCATAATAACCTTAGATTTTATAACTTATAATGCAAAAATGTATAATTACATGTCAGATAGGGGATAATGTCTGAATTTGTTTCTGATTGGTCATATAATATTGATGTATATGTAGATTGTGGATACCCTAATAGTTGGAAGGGGAGGGGAATTGAAGGTTGTAGCCCAACCATCAAATGCTTGATTTTGAGAAAATTATCATCATATTACTGACAAATCACTTGTTTGTTTTCCATGTTATAAATGTTTGAATTTGTTGAAGATTTATTTACTGTTATTTAAAGTTGATAATTGGATAATATTTAAACAGATTTTAAACTAATGTATGCACTGTTATTGTTGAATTATGTTTAATTAATGATTATTTATATTTTAGTCTCTTGTTTTATTCACCATATGTGGCCAGCAATAGACCGAAGGTCTTTTTTTATTATAATAACTTTGACTTGATTTGAATGAACACAGCCATTTCGAGCAAGATTGCTACAGTGTAGCCAGTGTCCCTCATCCATATTCTTTTTAAGCTCACCTGGCCTTAAAGGCAATGTGAGTTTTTGTCATCACTTAGTGTCCATCATTGTCGTCCGTCATCATAAACTTTTTAAAATTCTTCTTCTCTGAAATTACTGGGCATTATGTTACCAAACTAAACCTGAATTATTTTAGGGTATATAGTTTAAAAAATTTTATCTGGGGATTTGATTCATCATCAAACATGGCTGCTGTTGCTGCAGAAGATAGGTTATAGGGGGGATAAATACTGTTGAGGGCTTATATCTCAAAAATTAAAGTAGTTAGAGCAATCTGAAGTGTGTAAAATTGATCAGCCTGTATGTCTATCTCCTACAGAATTGTCAGGAAAAACGAAACAACCCATTTTGGAGTTATTGCCCCTGAAATGTCAATTTTATGCAAATTTCAGTTTTGGATTATTATCTTGATAAACTAAAACACATAGAGAGAAATTTTAAACAGTAAAAATTACCAGAACAAAAACCTTTACAAATAAGTCAACTTGACAGTAATTGCCAAATAACCCCAAATAAAATTTTTGGCTTCAAATGATGATTTTTACCTTTTTTGCTTTTTTTAGGAAAACAGAAAATCTTTAGATAGTTAAAATGTTCAACAAAATAAGATCTATGGACCAGTCAACATGGAAGAATAATCAATTTACCCCATATAGGAGATATTGCCCTTGAAAGACTTATTTGCTCATTTTTTGCAGAAACTATGATGATAGAGAGAAATTGTAAAAAGCAAAAGTGCTCAGGAAAATAAGATCTACAAAGAAGTAAATTCCGGCAAAATTGGCGATTGACTAATTACAGGAGTTATTGCCCTTGAAAGATGGTTTTTATCCATTGTATATTTTTCGCAGAAAACTTGATAGATAGAGAGATATTGTTAATAACAAGATTTTTTTAAGCATTAAAGATCTACAAAAATGTCAACTGACTCCTTTTTGTGGAGCCTTCAACTTTTGTTGAAAAAGCGAGACATAGCGATCCTACATTCCGTCGGCGTCGTTGTCGGCGGCGGCGGAGGCGTCCACAAATATTCAACTTTCTTAAACTATCCTGGATTTCTACCAAAGATTGGACAGAAGCTTGTTTATGATCATAAGATAATATTCAACAGTAAATTTTGTAAAAAAAAAATCAATTTTTTCCGTATTTTACTTATAAATGGACTTAGTTTTTCTACCAGGAAACATTACATTCACTCTGTGTGGTTAAAGTTTTTGAAATTTTAATAACTTTCTTAAACTATCCTGGATTTGTACCAAACTTGGAAAGAAGCTTGTTTATGATCATAAGATGGTATCCAGAAGTAAATTTTGTAAAAAAAAAATCAATTTTTTCCGTATTTTACTTATAAATGGACTTAGTTTTTCCGCCAGTTTACATTACATTCACTCTGTGGTTAAAGTTTTTAAACTTTCTTAAACTATCCTGGATTTGTACCAAACTTGGACAGAAGCTTGTTTATGATCATAAGAGAGTGTCCAGAAGTAAATTTTGTTAAAAAAAATCCAGTTTATCTGTATTTAACTTATAAATGGACTTAGTTTTTCTGCCAGTTTACATTACATTCACTCTGTGGTTAAAGTTTTTTTTAAATTTTAACAACTTTCTTAAACTGTTCTAGATTTGTACCAAACTTGGACAGTAGCTTGTTTATGATTAAAAGCTAGTATCTAGAAGGAAATTTTGTTAAAATTTTGTTCCATTTGTTCCGTATTTTACTTATAAATGGACTTAGTTTTTCTTCCAGTTAACATTACATACAGTCTGCAGTTTAAGTTTTTAAAACATTTATTAGATTCATAAACTATCCTGGATTTTTACCAAACTTGGACAGAAGCTACTTACAATCAAAAGATAGTATAGAGAGGAATATTTTTATTAATTTTTTCCCTCATTTTTGTTGAGCCTGCGATTAACAGCAAAAGTAGGCGAGACACTTGGTTCCGCGGAACCCTTTACGAATTTTTGGAGATATTTCTACTGAATGACTATTTTTACCCATTTTATGAAATATTTGAAGAAACAAAGATAGATAGAGAACAATATCTACAAATATTATCAGCAAAATAAGATCTATAAATAAGTTAACATGCTTGAGATTGTCAATTGACCGTAGCCTGGCAACCTGACCCAATCTAATACTTCGTCGATAGGGCCAGGCGTAATACAATCCACGAGTTCAACTATCAGCGCTAAACAGGGCTGAATGGCTGCGCATGTGCTTGTTCTATAATCTGGGAACAGTATATCTAATATATATGTTCCTGCTATAATCAAGGAATATATCAAGCTAGTCGTTAATTAACTCTTGATTCACGATGTTAATCAATAATGTTTGGATTTTATTTGCCAAATTTTTCGAAATTTGCATTTCATATAAAACTAAAAATAATTTTCAATAAATTCGTGGCAATATAAATATTTCCTGCTATGTGTCAAAAAAAGGACGCTATCCCACAATACATCATTTTAATAACCAATTGACGAAACCATGTCGTTGAATTCTGCCTGGCTCTACTGTCGAGCAGTGAGCCAGGATTCCAGGCTACAATTGACCCCTGAGAGAAGTTATTTGCCCTTGAAATATGACATTTTTTGCATGTTTGTCAATAACTGTAGAAATTAGAGAGGAAAGCAAAACGATCAGCTCAATTAGATCTTCATTATAAAACTAAAGAGATGTGGCACGATTGCATGCTAATGAGACAACCATCCACCAGAGCTCAAATGAAATGGATGTAAGCAACTATAGGCAACCATATGGCCTTCAAAAACGAGGAAAACTCATACTTTATATTTGGCTATAAAAGGTCCCGACATGAAAAATGTGAATCAAGTTGGTCAAAATGGCAGAATTATCACACTAGTTATAGGAGTTATTGCCATGGAAGGATTTTCGTTTTTTGTCATGGCATTGTCAATTTATTTTCGACATATGAGTTTTGAATTTCCCCTTTGTATCTTGACTTCCTTCTCTATTTATCTCAACAGGCCATAAGACCACGTGAGCTATTGCCATCACTTGGCGACTGGCTTCATCACCGAAGATATTGATAGATAATAGAAAATCTGACAGGAGTAAAAATGCTAAGAAAGTCAAGATCTAACGACCTCCTATTGCAACAAAATTATCAGATGACTCCTTTAGGAGTTATTGCTTTTAAACTTAATTTTGGCTAACTTTCATGTTTTTGCCTTTTAACTCTAAAACGATATAAGATAGGTACAAACTTTTAAGAGCAAAATGATCAGCAATACAAAACCTACAAAAATGCCAATATGGCCGAAACCATTGGGTGACTTCTAAAGGAGTTGTGGTCCTTTCATCTTTTCTAAGAATTTGTGGAAGACGTAACTGTGTTATCCACTTTTCGCCATTACCAACTCTGACTCTCTTCTTGAACCATTTATAAAACATTATTACACATTGAATACTTCTGTGTTGGCATGAATTATTGACATGGTCATTACCATAAAATAACTGTTGACAAAAATTTGAATTTTTCGAAATGCTAATAGATAACCTTAACTGACAAAACCTTTAGGAATTTTGCGTCCTTCAATACTCTTCAATTAACGTCGTGTCGTACTTTATTTGACCTGTTTTAACAAAAAAGTATTCAAGCGTCACTGATGAGTCGCGTCTTTTGTAGATGAAGAGGAGTATAAATTTTTTATCCTGGTATCTATGATGAGTTTATTCTGTTCTAATATTCACTTCAAATACCTTAACAGTTGCGACTTTCATTTTCATCCCCAGACTGTTCGGGTATGAGTGTCTACTGAGAATATCAGCTACTTGATTGTTACTACCTTTTCTAAACTTATTCACAAAACTATAATGCTACAAATCCGTTGCCCATCTTGTTAGTTTACCTGTGTTTTCTTTTGATTTATGAGTTACGTCAAGGCTTTGTGATCAGTATAAATAGTGAACTTCCCAGTAGTTGGATAAGTGTTACAGCAGAATTCATTGAGTGTGTGGGTAAAGGTAATATCTTTGGTTAGCTTTCTTGCTAGCTGAACCGTGAAGTCATTATTAGGTTAGGTAAACTACCCTCCTTTAAGAGTAGACTAGTCCGACAGATAACCAAACTAACTGTCTGTAGGACTAGACTACTCCGAAAGGAGGGTAGAATACCTAACCTAATAATGACCACGGTTCAGCTAACAAGCAAGCTAACCAAAGATTCTAACCTTACCTACACACTAAATGAATTCTGCTGTAAATGGTTTTACACCTTTAACCACTATACATGACATTCTCTTTCAGTTGTACTCCAAGCCTGCTCTGTTTTAAAGCAACCTTTAACACCACAAGCAATTACACGTGGGAGGTTTAGCTATCTATAAAACCAAGCTTATCCCACCATTTTCTTCAGAGAACGTCTGCACCGAGTCAGGAATATGGCAGTTGTTTTTCATTTGTTCCGTTGGTGGTTAGCGTTTGATTTTGTCAGTATTTATGGACTTCCCCTTTTTGTATTTGCCTTAGAGTTCGGTACTTTTGTCATACTTTTTTTCTTTTCTCTGACTTTCTAACTGACCTAGATTAATACTCATGCTATGAAGTCAGCATACAGGATTTAATCGTGTCGGGTGAAGCTAGGCCGTGACTGGAAGCGCTACTAAAAGGCTTGTTAAAATTCCTTATTCCATTAAAAATTTCGCTCCCTTTTCTTCTTAAGCAACCCAATCAAAGGAGTGACAATTTTGGAATACGACTAAACAAAATGTCGATAAAAATTGCACATTCCAAAAAATGAGCGAACCTGTTTTGCCTTTGAAGGGACAGCTTTTGTCATTTCAGGATCAACCTTAATACCTTCTTTAGAAATGA